TGAAAGACAATGCTACGGTTCCTAATGTAGATATTTGAAGGCATTTATTGATTTTTTCATGAGAATGCAGCCATATTCGGCAACTTTGTTTACATACAGAATGACACTCTACTGTACTTTCCAAAGGCCGTACACACTGCAGATAATTAATGCAGTGCTAGTAAATTGAAGTGCATACAAGATGTGTAGCTCTTCCCTGTAGGTGTTTTGTCTAGCGATTTTGGCGACTTGCAGCAAGTAAACCGCTCTCAGTGCAAAAGCAACTTCACAATTGCTGGAGAATATAGTGTGTACTGGCCAAAGAGTGTGGAAAAAAATGTTATTGCTTTCTGCTCAAGTGACATTTAAACTGACATCTAAATTACCAAACACTTGAGGAAAGTTATCTGCAGGGACACTCAGTAGTGACTTTTTCTGTCAATGGACTACAGGTTAGTTTTAATCATAACTATTAACAAAAAATTAAGAGTTTTAACCTATGTAACATCTAGTCAGCCTCCATCTCTGCCAGGATGTTTCTTACACTTGTTCCCTCTCAGATATTCCTGAAAAGAAGCATGTAAAACTTGCATGATTCATTTTGATTTCAGTCATTTATTTTGTAATGTTTTCTTTGTTAATTGCAGTGCATCCAAAGATTGACTGAAGTTAACTTATTTTATTTGTTGGAATTGAATCACATTGTTGCTGTTAAAATGCACAGAATCACTTTGTCAAATAAATTAAAATGACCAAATTTAAAAATAAGGACAAAAAAAAGACTTGCATTTTCTATTTTAACATTTTGCAAACAGATTATCATAAAATTATTTCTGTATAATTCACAAAAGTAGTTCTCAGTATAATTCACAACAACCCTTCACTAGTAAACTAAAAATACAATACAAACACAAACATTAAATACATTTTAAAGCCTAGGTTTCATTGTCAAATGGGGAAAAAAAAAAAGTAACAGACATGTTTCATTAGTGTCAACTGCAGAGCCAAATTCTATTTGAAACTTCATGGAGAGGTTTAGTTTTTTTTATATATAGCTTCTTTAAAATCAGAAGAGTTTGTAGAACAAGAAGAAATCAGATGACTTCCATCATAGTCGGGTCCCACTCATATCCTGAAATGAGAAGTTTGAAATCATGTATATATATATTCTACAATAATTCCATGAATTGTATACTCTATGTGAATGTGATCTTAGTGAGTGCATATACTGGTGAACCTACTAGAACATTCTCATAGCTGTGGACCGTCTTAG